TGTTTTTCGACGCAGACTTTCTCTCGAAATAGACAGTCTAAATTAGACTACAAAAGAAGGAGTCACATCAACACTGTGCCATCTGAATAGCCAAGCCGTTCGGTAGAATGAGTATGGGGATTCGCTTTTTAATGGCTACATTAATAGAAATTTTATTTACATTTATATTTACAAAATGTTGGAAATGTATACTGGATGTCGCTGTCCTTAAATGATTTCATTGTTAAACCTGAGTTTTCCCAATCTGGGAGGATTCAGGCGAGCAGATCCCCATGACCTTTGGTGTCTACGCTTCATTGCTATGAATCGTCGTCATTATTACACATTGGTTGGCATATGCAATTGCATGCTCTAGAAAAGCTGTAGCTGAAACACTTGCCTAAGCAGATGTGTAGCTAACTTGAAATAATAAAATGACTGTATGTGTTTAAATCATTAGAACTACATCGAATGGTCACTATATACATAAAGCACAGTCTTTCAAAAGCCTTTTAATCTCCTTAAATCTCCCTTTCTATAGCTTAAGTGACGCCATGTTGGTTCCAAAATAGCAGCAGCTGTGGCTGATACACAAGATGACAGAAGAGTGAGTGTGTTTCCATCTGCGGTGTGACATGGTCCTGATGAGAAGATCTCTTCTGATGAGAGCATATGTGCGCATGTACGTGTGTGTTTGCTGGCGGCTGATGAAGGACAGTGCTGCTGGCTTATTGAACTGCCTGAACTACTTTCAAGATGAAGAATTTGATTGCAAGGACATTAGAGCCCACCTGCTGCCTGCAACTGTTGGTGGCCAGAACCTCTGTTCTTAAAAACAAAAACAAGAAGAAGCAGCTAGTTTTAACTTCACACGCTTGCGTACATCACAGTGTGGGAGGGTGTCCATTCACCGTTATTATTTTGGCTTGTTTTTTTCCCCCATCATCCAGAATACTAGTGTCCATGATGCCAAGTCGTGTTTTCTTCCAAGAGAGCTCCCTAAATACTCATTTAGCAAAGTAATTCATTTGTTGGAATGATTTCGCTCGCACAGAGCATAGAATTAGCACAAATAACATGATATTTTGGTACTAATTTACTATGGCCTGGTTTAAATTTCATTGCATAAAGATTGCTTTGTAAATACTCCAAGTTCAACATGGTGCTGAAAGAAGACTGGCATATAATTGTGGCTAATTAACACAATGGACTAAACGCATGTAAAGCAAATCCACTGGCTTCCGGATTTACCATGGTAACAATGAACTGAATATTTCCAAAAATACATGACCATTTTCACTTTCTACTTTTTTCTCTCTTACATAAATGCTCACATGTACAGAGTTGTTAATCTGATCAGTAATGGCTTGTCTGAGAAATAAATAAGTGAATTAAAATTTTAAAATCTAGAATTGTGATCAGTGTTAAGCTACATTTGGCAGGAATCACTCCAGGTTTTCCAAAGTCCTCTCTGTGTTTTCCATAACCTTCTTCTCACTTAGAGAAACCCCAAATCCCGGAATGTCCCTATTTACTTTCTTAAAGGGGTCATCGGATGCAAAACCCACTTTTACAAGTTGTTTGAACATAAATGTATGTTGGCAGTGTGTGTACACAACCACCCTATAATGATAAAAAATCCACCCAGTGGTATTTTTTTCATCTCTATAAATAATATCCCCTTTTTCAAATCAAGATATTCTCAGCTTCTTGTCTGTGTGATGTCACACAGACCAAGGCCACTCCCACGATTGTTGATTGACACTGCCGTCTTACCTTAGACCCGCCCTGAGTGAGCTGTCATCAGTCCACCACTGTTTCGACGCCGGAGCAGGGACGTAGACAAGAATGGCTCCTAAGTGATTGAGGTGTTTTGTTGTTGGATGTCATCATGAAACCAGCAGTCGTCATTTACTCCCGACATCTGAGCCGCTGAAGGCGCAGTGGATTACGTTTGTTTTTGAAGGGATTGCACCCACCGATCTACCTAAATGCGTCTATGTTCGCGCAAATCATTTGTGAGTATAAGGATTTTTTATGAATCTTTGCAAATCGACTTTCCTAATAATGTGCTAGTTAGCAAGTTTCACGGCTAAATGCAGCTAAATGCAGCTAAAGTAAACAGGACGGCTCGTCACCCCCCACAGAAGAGAGGGGCGGAGTGAGCAGAGCTCATTAGCATTTAAAGGGAAATGCAACAAAACGGGATGCTGTGAAAAGAGCTGATTTAACAAGGTAAAAAGGGTGTTTTTTACACTACCATTGAGAAATTTTAACCAATGTTATAAACTTTTCATTAAGACCCTAAAAGAATCATATCAACTTGTGGAAAATGGGCATCCGATGACCCCTTTAATATATGTTTGCGAGCTTATGGGTAATTACTCATTTTTGCTTTTATTCCAAATTGGAAAAACAAACAAATAAACAACAACAAATGTTTTGTAATCAAATTGTGATCATTTGCTCTTTCTCTGAAGCAACTTTCATTTTCTGGTGACTTGGGTCTCACAGGCTAATAAATATGTTAACCAATACACAAATAGCTATTTTAGGTTGTTTTACCAAACTTGTTTTATATCTGACTCCATTCTATTATGTAATGACCACTTTTAACAATTCAATCTATTCCTATTGAATAAAATCAAGTATATGCATTTGTTCATTCGTAATATATTGTTTCACTCAGAAATAAATCTGATTGTGAAAATATCATTTGCAAAATGGTTTCACACTGAGTTCGTGACTGAATGAACTGTTTATCTGAATGGATACCTTACTCCTTGCTCATCTCTACAGCAGTTCCCAAGAATCATTCTTTCATTCATGGAATTTGCCATAAGTTTGATTGATTTTGTGCACCGAGACAGAACTACGTGGGTGTTTGCACACTCATATCTTGGTGCTTTGTGCTCAGGAATGACAGATTCTCTCATTACTGATCTATGTGAATTCATGCAACAGAAAAATAGTCAACAGCAACAGCCTGTTTGTCTCTAACCTGTCTTTGTGATTTGTGTTTTATTATGTAAATATGTAAATGATCCTGTATTATTTAAACTGCTTAAAGGGGTCATATCCCTGTCCATCAAAGGCAAAATGCAGTGACTACACATTAGGGCTTTATTTAATAAATCCTGGGTATTCATAAACTGACATTTCAAGATGTAAATTATTACATTCTTGGATGTTAATTCCACTTCAAATATGACAAGTGTGAAACGTTCCTCTATGAGGTTAAAAGCAGGGTTTAGAACAATGTTAACCCGGGGTTAAACACATTGTGAAAAGCCCATTTTGTCAAAATTAGACATTTCATTCATTTTCATTTTTTAAAAATCTTAATATGTACTATTTAGCGCTAACTTATGTCCAGATATTATTAACTGACATTCCCTTCTTTTCTGAAATTTAGTCATCAAATCCATAAATACCGCAGGTAAATTCACAAGTACAAAAGTGCATCTTTAATGCCGTTACCTTCTTCATATTCATGACCTGCTTTAAGAGCAGAAAATAATGAGCTCATGGGACATAAAAGACACATGCTTTACATATTATTTGATCTCATATTTCATAATATGTCTTTTTTTTATAAATTCCTTGCTGCCTTATACAAAATGCCCTGATATTTAAAACTTATCACTACATTTATTTCAGTGTCCCTGTCCATTTCAGTTTCATCTTAACAGTTTAAGTTTCACATTCCAGTGTGGATTTTATGTATTATATAAACTTGTCGGAGGAAGAAAAGCAAGTAGTGGTTTTGAAAATGTAGATTGAAATGTAACTTTAAATACCTTTATACCATGGTCTGTCTGAATACTGGATCCTGATTGGCTGGCAGGTATATGCATTAAACCATTTAATGCACAGGTAGTGCATTAAATGGTTTGCTTGTTTGCACCCAAACACACACACAGCGAGAAAGAGAGATCACAGATTGCGCTGCGCAACACAGAAACATTCAGGAGCACAGAGACCTGTTGTCAACTCTGCCCCACGACTTTTACTAATAAAATAGCCTAGATATAGGATCGCTACATTATATTCCTCAGAAACGATGAGGCAAAATCACAGCTTCCATGTTTAGAGAGAGATGCACAGATTCAGATAACTCTCACACACAACTGTCTCAATCAATCGATAATTAATTCAGATAAATGCTATAATTTACTCTAATACATGTGATCATACCGCACTACTTCATCTCTGTATCTGATTTGAAGTGGGAAGAATGCTAGAGCTAATGAGCTGTAACTGAAGAAAATAGCTCATTTTTACCCTTCCGGTCAAATATTGCAGCGCAAACATCATTAACAGCTTTAGCTTGTCAGTCCTGGCAAACGACCATGGTCACGCTTCGCGTCAGGTTGTTCTCGGGCTCCATGTCGTGCATTAAAATCACTGTGCATTATCCCTTACTTAAATATCTAAGGAACTTAAATATAACTGCAATCATAGTTAAAATATACGGCTTTATTTAACTCTACTTAAAGGTGACATATCATGAAAATCTGACTTTTCCAGGTTTTAAGTGCTATAATCAGGTCCCCGGTGCATCTACCAACCAAGGAAATGTGAAAAAGATGACCCCAGTAACTTTGTTTTGCTAAGCCTTTTTCTGCAAGCGTCTGAGAAAACGAGCGCAGCGCGATAAACATGATAATCAGAACCAAAACAGATGTTTTTTAGCAGGTCCGAGCTGTAATGGTGCAGCTCTATTCTGGAAAAGGGAATAGATTTGCAACTTATTTGCATTTAAAGAGAGCCCCGAAAAACAACGTGTTTCTGCTTCCACTCAAAATAGGCATTTTGAAAATTATATAATAAATGATCTGTGGAGTGTTTTGAGCTGAAACTTCACAGACACATTCTGGGGACACCAGAGACTTATATTACATATTGTAAAAAAGGGCATAATATGTCTCCTTTAAACTAGTCTATGGGGTCATTGGAATCAGGCCAGGAGTTGTTAAGAATGAAACTGACAAAGCTTGATTACACATTGCATTCCTCCATTTAATACAATTATTTTGATAAAACAGAAAATTATAAATACATCTATTGACAATAAGATGCACAAAACAGTATGCATAATTCTAATGTATATTTGCCCAATAAATAAAACAAAAAAGTGAAATACAGGGAGTGTCATTTAGGATAAACCTGAAATGTTGTCACAAAAATCAAATCTATGTTTGGTGACCATTTCATTCTTTCTTTGAGAAATATGTTTAAGCAAATGTGCAGTCTTGGAAAACAACTTTCATACTTCTAACTGGATAAGAAGAAATTGTGTGTGATATATTATGAATGAGGTAGATCTCTCTAAATGTCTATGATTTGTCTAATAATCTGTATCACAGCATCTGTCATAAATGAGTCATACTACGAAAGTGTTTTCAGATACAGTCACCTGTGCTACACCAAATGCAAGGGTTCAAATGCGTACATATTCAAAAATACAGAGAATACATTTTTGTCAAACGAGTCATAGTTACAGCATGCCGCACACAGCACCTTCTCTAGGCTGGTTTTATATGACGTGCTCCGCCACAGCTCTCCCAGTTATTTTATTCTGAGCACGTATTCTGTGCTGCTTCCTGCCATTTTTTTCTTAATGAATCCTCCCTCCTTCTTTCTCAATACCACCCAACCACTACTCTGTCTGCCACTCACCTCTCTCTCGCTCTCTCGCTTTCTCTCTCTCTCTCTTGACCGTAAATGTAAAATCACAGATATTTTCACATCAGCCTCACGACTTTGCCAAAACATGAGCCCCTTCTGTTTCAGACAGCAATCATAGTCAGTGGTTTCAGGTGTCAGCATTCACATAAAATGTCTGTTGGACAGAAAATGAATAAGGCTTTTTAAAAAGATTTTTTTCTTCTTCTTCTTTTTCACAAAACCTAGTGGTGGGTAATACAAAAATATCTACTGTTAAAATACAGGCACTCAGAGAACACATACAAACAGCTGTCAGTTTTTCTCACAGAGAAATATACAATATATATATATATATATATATATATAAAATATATATGACCAAAAACAGATATACAATAATACATAGCAAAAAATCAACAGCCTTACAAACAGCCTTAAACTCATTAAGGACACCAAAGCTCAAATACATAAACAGTGCAAATAGATCCAAAGTACTGACCCAAAATACTGATCATTTTTACATATGCAGCATATTCTAAATGTACCACTTTTCACATGTCAGTAATTAGATTTTTCTACTTCACATTCAATTGACTGACATTGGTTGCAAGACACTGGTTTCCTGCTAACATGTCAGTAGATATGTAGTGATGTGTGTCTCTACTGCTCTACTCTGCTGGAGTTAGCTACAGTGTGCAGGTAAAATCATTTATTACTTGAATGTTCACACATACATACCCCCCCCCTTCCACACACACACACACACACACACACACAGGTTTACAGAAATACATGCAAGCAAGTAGGAACGTTTTCATGTGCACATACACTGACCCCAGATTTCACTTGACAGACAAAACGATAGGTAAAAGCAAAATAACAGTCTGGAACGTCAAAAAACACTTTGTTGCAACATAAACATGTAATAGTGCACAAATTTCACTTAAATATCAAAAAATAAAAACAGTTAATTTGTCATGCAAAACATGAGCTCACATTAGCTTGTCCTTATACATTTAAAATAGGCTCTGTAATGACTTGGCATGAATACATAAATAAATCCTGGCACTGCATGTTACTTAATCAAAAATGATGTACTTGGTAACATAAGTAGCTGTCATTCTTTCATCAGTGTTTATATTTCTCACCAAAGCCTTCCTTTACTGACCTGGAGTCATCTGTCTAGAGACTTCCATGATTTTCTTTTGCATCCAACTTTCATACATCCCTCAAGAAGAAAGCAGGGAACGTTGCAGCATTTAAGGTTTAAAGTCTCCAGTTTCTCCAAAGAGAGATTCTCCAGGTTTAAACACGACACACACACACGCACGCACACACACACACACACACACACACGGCTCCTCCATTGTCCTTGTTTCTTTCTGACTTTTACCTAATTGAAACACAACTGATCAAATGCATTTGTCTGTGTACTGTCGCTAAATGTTTCCACAGGTCGTCAGCGACAGTGAGGAGATGTTACAGACAGCTTACCCTCAAACTGGTTATTTTTCTTTCCAGAGCACCAGAAAAACTTCTGATTTTGTGAAGCGCATCTCATAGAGTGCACTGCTCTGAGCTGAAGATGCCTCCCTCCTTCTTTTCTCTCTTCCGAGACCGATGCACCTTCCAGCACGCAGCCGCTATCAACAGCATGACGAACCCTGTGACCAGCAGCACCAGAGACACCACTTTAGTTTGGGGCAGCGTGTTGAAGGTGAACGTGACGCCGGTTCCCGCCATGCCGATCACCAGTGAGATGACCCCGAAGGGAAACACGCAGCGGTACCAGGACTTCTCAGTGCCGCCGGTGGCCTGGGCCAGACGCTCCAGCGTGGACAGGTCCTCTGGGGCTTTGGGTACAGCCATCGAGGGCGTCCCGTCACGGGCCAGGCTGCATTCAGGGTCCAGCGTGGCCAGCTGCATGGAGGCTGGAGGCTGGCAGGGCAAGCGGCCAGATGAGCAGCCCATTTCACTGACCCTCTGAGTGTCGCCGCTGATTCTTTTTCTGGTTGCTGTTCCTCCTTCTGCTGGCTCTGTCAGGAGTGAGCATTTGCCTGGGAAGGAGGGATATTTTTGGGAGTGATCTATATATAGAGCTCCATGAGGACAGGAAGAGTCATACAATCATTATCGGCTAAGATGACAGGTTTACTCACTTCCTCTCTCAGGCTGCGATGTGTTCCTTGCTCCGCTGCATTTGGTGCGTCTGCCCTGCTTGTAACAGCAGCACATTGTCTGTTTTGCTAGCAGAGCTGACTGGAGTATACAGAGCTGAGGACCAGGGAGGAGCCAATGAGAGCAGAGGGGCCAGTCGGAGCCTCCGATTGGCAGCCGTTCTCCTGCGACATCACAGATGGTTGAGAGAGCTCCAAACACGAGTGTTATTGATGATGCTGATATATCCACAGCTTATGCCACCTACATTCATGCTCATCTCCTCCATCTAACACTTTCCGTCTGTTTTTCTATAAATACATATAAAATGTTTTCATTTATTAAATTCAAAAGAAGAAACAACAAAACCATAAATTAATGACTGAATGCATGTGAGTGTGTGTGTGTATACCTGGTATTCCAGGGAACAAATGTCCCCACAAGGATAGTAATACCAGTATATTTTGACCTTGTCGGGACACTTTTTTTTTTTGGTCCCCATAAGGAAACAAGCTTATAAATCATACAGAATGAAGGTTTTTGAAATCTAAAATCAAAGAAAGTTGTGTTTGAGGGGTAGGTTTAGGGTAAGGGAACAGAAAATTCAGTTTGGACAGTAGAAAAACCATCACGTCTATGGAATAAACCCATAATGATAAGAATACCAGTGTGTGTCATTGCATATATTTTGAAAATGGATTTGCATTTGTTTCTATTCTATAAACCCTCTCATTTAATACACCTATTCAGTCAGTGAAATTAATACTAATAATAGCATGTACTCTCCACATCAACACTCGAAAAAAAAAATAAATAGGCAAAAGCAACATAAAACACATTATCAAATGGAACATGATGCACCAAAGGAGTGCTATTTATCTGCAAGAAGCTTTTTGATGAAGATGTTCAACATCTGCAGTCCATGTGGATAATTGCATGCTTGTTACTATTTATACAGTCATCATGAGTACCAAACCGGTGAATTCTATATAACGAGAACGGAGTAAGAACAATGTGATCTGATTAGCTGGATCATATTCTGCACAAATAGAGAAATTACACAGCGTACCAAGAACATTTTGTCAAAGGAGAATATCTTGAAGAAGCAACCGAGTGTATTTCGGTATGAGCTCTGCATGCATTAATTTAGCGTGCAGCTGTCTGTGGAGCTCGTGCATCACTTGCACTTTCAGCTATGTATTTTCTCCTTCCAATATGGGCTTCAAGTATATCATGGGAAGCAAAGTGTAGCCTGCAGGGTCTTATCTAATAACAATGAAAATCCCCCTCTAATGGATGTTGTAGGTGACTGGACACAGAATGAACAAGGAGAGGGGATCCCAGGGAGAGTGAGAGAAGGAGAAAAAGAGGAGTAAACACATTCAAACTGGCACTTGGATCTATGGACGGACATGAGGAGCATTACAGCAGTGACCCATCTAAAGTTTTATTTTTATTCCCAGAATGTTCTGCTAAAAGGTGGGATTACCTTCTATAAAAACATTCTAAAAATGTTTATTGGTAACATTATTAGAACATTATCCCCTAACATTCTAATAAAGATTTTAGCGGGAAGCTTCCCATTGCACTAGATGTGGACTTTGTGGATGTGGATGTGAAATTTTGGTTGAAAGTGAAAACCCAACCTTTGTTTGATGTCAGCCTCCATCGTCATTAAATAACTCTAAATAAACTGTATAACCAGCTTTACTTATTATAAACCAGGTTGGCTTTATTTTTGTCAGACATGTACAAAAGTTCTTATTGAGATTAACAGAGGTTTAGATGTTGATAGTTTATTGAAAATAATAGTTTGGTTTGAAGTCACCATTGTTGTAATCAGTGATTGGGCAGTTTGACTTGACTTTTCAATGTTAGTTTTTATTTGGCTGGTGTAAATACAGAGTTCTGGCATGAAACTCTAGATGGCACAGACCGATAAATCTAGCTCAATCTGACCTGGTGACATCATTGTCACATGGCAGCTGATTGGTTCTCTTCTGTATCGGTAGCCAATGAGCTCACTGCTTAATATTCAAATACCTGGCTTTTGTTTGCTGTAGTAGTTGGCAGCGCACTTCAGAAATCCTCCACCTTCCCCAGCTCCACCTGTATCTGCTACAGGCTGATTAATGTATGCTATATGGGGGTTATTCATATGTGTTATATGTGCAGCAGCAGTATTTCTTACATGCTTACAGCAGCATGTTATGGATGTATTGGCAGTAGCAAGTCTCGGTACTTGCTCTGCCGCAGCAGCAGCAGCGTAGCAGATCTATTTCGCCAAGACCAAATACATTAACATTGTCATGTACATTACCATGCCAATCCCTCCGAGAGCTGTCATGACAGAACTGTTTGTTATGGCAAGAACAACAAGAGAAAGTGTGATCAGATGATGTTGGTTACTTGTTGATGTTAAAGACATTATCATCATGTAGTGATCTGATCAACTGATTTCATCCAGAGTCTAATCTATGCTATTAATTTCATTTTAGTGACTGTAATAATGCATTTCAACAGCATGAAATCCAGCAAGTGCTTTAATCAGATAACCTGTATTTTTATCGGTAATTTTAAAAACACATTGTTCATGAATCATTTTGAACTACTGAGAGCTTAGGCACACACAGACATCAAGAATCAGTCTATGAATCTCAACAATGGTGACATGCTTCATGCCGCAATGCATTCTGGGAGCCATGGATGAGTTTTGTATGATACACCCAGAATGCATTGCAGCATGAAGCATGTCACCATTGCTGAGATTCATAACCTGACTCTTGATGTTTGTGTGTCTTAATGACAAAGTTTTTTTTTATCCTTGAAGTGATCTGATTAAAACACTGCTGGATCTCAGTCTGTAGAACCACTGGGTGTCTGTAATAAATAATGTGCATCTAATACCATAGATTAGACTGGAAGAAATCAGATAAGAAAACCGTTACATGATGATTATATCTTTATCATCAGCAAATAACCAGCATCATCTAATTACATGCTCTTTTGATGTTTTGCCATGACAAACATAGCTACCACAGCTAGAGAAATACTTTGAAAAGTCAAGACTCAAGCTGCCCAACTAAAACACTGATCACCATAATGGTAACACCAAATCAAACTATTACTTTTAAACAGACATCAACATCTAAATCTCTGTTAATCTCAATAAGACCTTTTGTACACATATGACAGAAATAAAGTCAATCTGGTTTATAACAAGTGATGCTGGAAATACAGTTTTTGGAGTTATTTAATGAAGTTGGAGCTTCATCAAACAAAGGTTGGGTTTTAACATTTGAGTCCACATCCAATGTCCAATGAGAAGATTCCCACTAAAATCTTTACTAGAATGTTAGGGGATAATGTTCTAATAATGTTATTAATAAACATTTTTAGAGAATGTTATCCTATATTTTAGGAGAATATTCTGGGAACTAAAATAAAACTTGCCGCTGAAAACCTTCCCAGAACTTAGCATAATGTTCTCAGAACATTCTTAGAACAATAAAATTTGTAGCTGGGGAGAAGATACCATATGTCTGGTCACCTGACCTTTCTGTGTGACTCACTGGTGCTCAGGGAGGTACAACTGGAGCTCTGCCTATGGCTCCACCTGTCACCCGGTCTGGTGTCATTTGTGCCAACTTAACATTGCATCTCTGCCAATGAACAAGCCTACCGCAATAGATGCACTATTGCAGCAAAATAAATGTACTTTTCATCTGCTTACGTGCCCGCTGAGTCCGTTTAAGACACCGTACCAATATAGACCGGGGTCAGCCGGCTGGGGATTGTGCAAGTCTTCGAGCAGCTACAATGCAAACAAGTCACGACCTAGAGGCTTGGATCCTGCTGATGGGTAATTAGCCCAGTTCTGTAGGAGCTCGTGGGTGTCCATGGCATGAGGAGCACTGATGGATTGATTTGAAGTAAAAGAAAAGAGCAAGGATGATCTCCTTTCTTGCATCTAATCCATATTGTATGAATTGACAGAGGCAAGCTTGCGGGAAGATATAACACAATATAGGGAAAATCTGAGGAAATACTGAAGCTTTCACACTGCCAAAGTCTGAGATTTCAATCAAAGGGCTGTTAAAGGACTGTGGGAGGAATACAGCGTATTGGGTGATATTGTATGAAATCAACTACATTTCAGAAACTTCCACAGCTAAAATGTGGATTTTTTTTTCTGAAGACAGACAAACATAAATAGTGATGAAAATATGAATGTCACAGATGAAAATGTACTTATTAATACACAAAAAAAAAAATGTACCTTAGAATTGGAGCCAAATTATGGCAGCATAATTAAAAATGGCAGCATTTTGCATGTCTGTAACTATTAACAATATCTTTTTAGATGTTGGTTTTAACAAACAAACAAACGTTTCTATATATAGAATATCTCAAAAAAGAATATCTTCTTTTGTATTCCACAGACGAAAGTCAGTCATACAGATTTGGAATGACATGAGGGACACTAAATAATAACAGAAGTGACATTTTTGAGTGCACTAACCCTTAAATGTAATAACTAACATGAAGTAACAATGAACATACTATAAAACAATATAAATAACATATTTATGAAACTATACCCTGGATTAATAAAATAAATGCTGTAAAATGTTACTCATTAGTAGTTGATGAATGCTAATGAATTGAACCTTACTGTAAAGTGTTACTGAATTTTCTTTTAAGATTTTTATGACTTCTCTCTATTTGAATACAATTCTGATAAGTATTGTACTAAAAATATATATGTAATATTTTCTGTATATCGGATATAGTATCTCTGCACATTTTCATTTAGTAGATGCTTTTATCCAAAGTGACTTACAGATAAGAATGCAACAACATACTTTGAAGCCTTGAGTCATAGTTTTAATTTAGTTTCCTTGTAAGTGCTAAGAACTCATGCTGAACATGCAAACAGCAGAAATGAGAGCGAGAAGCAAGAGAAGAAGAGAGAAAGATGGCATAATAAAAGGGCAAATTCCCACATGTATTATCTCATTATATATTTCTTTACCTGGAACAAAATGCCACTCTATCTTCAACATTTCATACAAGCAGTGTAAAAACCTCAGAAGATTAGAAGATGACTTATTCAGAGCAGTTAACACCATATTTGCCATGTT